ATAAGCCCTAGGGTGTCTTCTTGAGGAAAAATAAATATAAGACCCTGTCTTATTTTCGGGGAAACACACGGTATTTGTGAGACTTACTCATCTTTCTAATACTAGTCCTTAGAAATGTACCTAACACATGGTAGACACACATGTTGGGATTATTTCTGATTAAACATGTCATTGTTAATGATCCGTTACTGTGCCATATGTGCTATAGGGGGTTAAGCTGAATATTGAGTATTTCACTTTCTTGAAGGCTTTTTAAATTTTTTTGCCCATCTGTAATTATTTGCCTCTTATAAAAGTGAAGTACAGAATCTATAGCTTCATGATAGATGGTGATCTAATTTTTGAATAAAAAAGTGGAGTTGGATGTATAAGAATTCATTGATGCACTGTTATGATTTGTTAACTTTACTGTGTATAAATTAAAATCAATAAAAAAAATGGAGGTTGCCTCTCCTTGGTTTTTCTCACCCTTAATAAAGCCTTTATTTTTATTGTCTCTCATTGCCTTTTTGTCATATGGATGGCAGAGAAACACTGGGCTAGTTAGACAAGAGACTTGATTGGGAGAAAGTAAAAGTAATGTTTATTGTAGAAAATTTATAAGACAGGATGGTGGTCTGGGAAGCCCAAGAGCTTCCAGGGTTTGCTGAGGTATATACTGTGTGTATGAGAAGGCTGAGAGTCTCCACACTTGAGTGGTCAGTAATTAATGTGGCCTCAGACAAACAAAGGACAGATGTCCATTTGGCCAGCTCAGAAATAAGGCATTATTATAATAACAAACAGCCCAAATCAGTGAATTTGCCTTTTGCCCCTGCTAAACCACTAATCTATGTAGGAAGTGCATTCCATGTCTGAGCCTGCACTTGCGAGTTTAGGAAAATTCGGGAGAGCATCCAGAGAGATGGTTCTGATCACTTGGCTTTTTTGGCAGGCTTTCATTCTCTTGTTTTAGCATTAATAACTGCAGTATTCAAAATAGTCATCTCTAGAGGGCTTTCTGGTGGCAATTGCCAAGGGTCTCAGCTCTGATGGACACAGCTGTTAGTTAGAATCACCCTTTGTGTTCCCTGGGGAAGCTGGCCGAGTAGCCAGCTTCTAGCATTTTTTAGTGTCCTCTTGCTTTTAGATTTTGGTCTACCCAAATCACTTTAAATAAAAGGTCTATTTCATAATGCAGTTGAGTGTCCTTTCTAAATTCCTTCAGTCCTTCAGAGGGCTAGAGCATCTGGCAGAAATTCTAACTGCTCTGGTTTTTCCATAGTTCCGGAGTCAGTTTTGTAGACTATTCTCAGGAATTATTCTATGTAAATTTTAAAAACTCAGAAGTCTTAAGTGTTCATAGTGTTACTTCTAAATAATGACTGTTGTACTGGTCTGGAAAGGCTTGTATCTTTTAGATTAGCTGCTCTTAAAAATTATTGAGAGGCTGAGTGAGGTACCTCATGCCTGTAATCCTAGCACTCTGGGAGGCTGACGCAGAGGATCATATGAGCTCAGGAGTTCGAAACCAGCCTGAGCAAGAGTGAGACCGGCTCTTACTCTATTTTTCTTCTACTAAAAATAGAAAAATTAGCTGAACCCAGTGGTGGGTGCCTATCGTCCCAACTGCTTGGGAGGCTGAGACAGGAGGATCACTTGAACCCAGGAGTTTGAGGTTGCAGTGAGCTGTGATGATGCCACTTCACTCTAGCCTGGCTGACAGAGCGAGGCTCTGTCTCAAAAAAAAAATTATTATTATTATTATTTTGAGACAGAGTCTCGCTTTGTTGGCCAGGCTTGAGTGAGTGCCCTGGCGTCAGCCTAGCTCACAGCAACCTCAAATTCCTGGGCTCAAGCAATCCTGCTGCCACAGCCTCCCGAGTAGCTGGGACTACAGGCATGTGCCACCATGCCTGGCTAATTTTTTCTATATATATATTAGTTGGCCAATTAATTTCTTTCTATTTATAGTAGAGACGGGGTCTCGCTCTTGCTCAGGCTGGTTTCGAACTCCTGACCTTGAGCAATCCGCCCGCCTCGGCCTCCCAGAGAGCTAGGATTACAGGCGTGAGCCACCGCGCCCGGCCTGATGCTCCCTCTCTTAAAAAATAAATAAATAAATAAGGAAAGGAAAGGAAAAACTGATAGAACTTATGAAAGAAAGAGTAGGAAACATGGAATGTACTGTCAGTTTCCACGAAAGAAATGATGTTTTTGAAAAATTTTTGGTATTTTTTGCTTTAGGCTGAAAAGTGCTAGGCTGGAATAGTGAGTGAAAGGAGACTCGTGCCTAGTCTTGCATGGGGTAAAATTAGATGCTCTCAATGGAAAAGGAGTCATTGGCATCGGACTTCTCACTTGCAGTACTTCATGTTATAAACAGAATACAGTAACATCAAGACCTGTAGCTTCTCCATGAGGATCTGAGGTCACCCTGCGCACAGTCCAGGCTGGCTTCCGTTCAGTAGCAGACAACCAGCACCGCTACCAACAACTGTTGACCTAGATGGGTAGAAAGGAAAGTTTTGCTGTAGCAATAACTGCAGGGGCCACCATGAATATTTAAAATCTGAGATTCTACCATCTTCCTGGTGTCTTAGAATAAAATCCATTGCTTCTCCTTGTTCTGTTTTGTTTTGTTTCCCTGTTGTTTTCATTACCATAATGCTCCGTTTTCATTTTTGCCTTAGGTAACTCCCACTCTCTGATATGCAAAATTCCCCGTATTTTCAGCATCTTCATGGGGTGTTTTCTTTTCCTCCAGGCTTTAACTGAAATTGGCTTACTCCTGCATGCAGGGGTTGAACCCACTGTGTGAAGATTGCTCTATTACTCAAATCCTATGCACTGGGAGACAGGGTTAGCGTCTTACTCACCACCCACATGCTAAACCATTATTTCTTTACCCTCTTGGAAAAGATGCGCCACCTCTACCTCTTTTCATCACTTTCAACAGCTTTCTTCTTTGTTCCTTTCCTCACTCCATGATGGCCTTGGCCCCTGTCATATTGTTTCCTATATGCCTCAAACCTTGCCATTACCCTGTGTTACTTCATAGCTTCTCATGAACAATCAAAGACCTTGATCTTTAGGTCTTTAATCTCCTTCTTCTCTCACTTATGCCACCAAATTCTGTAGTGATGCTCTAGACTTTGCCATCTTTTAGAATTACCTGATTTTGGCTTGGTATGGTGGCTCATGCCTATAATCCTAGCACTCTGGGAGGCTTAGGTGGGTGGATCGCTCAAGGTCAGGAGTTCGACTGTAATCCTAGAACTCTGGGAGGCTGAGGTGGGCGGATTGCTCGAGGTCAG